ACCAATGACAACCCTGATGTGCCTCTTGAGGAATATTTTGAAATAAAGCCAGGAATTCGCCTACCTAGTTCTGACAATGAATGGTTACTCGCCAACTCGTATTTTCAATCTGCACTTGTAGATGTGTCCATAAATGAGTCATCAGTTGATAACGTTACCAGGTTGATGATGGATTCGATTTATGATTATTTTAGGGACACATGTGGTGTGATTGAAAACTGCAACAAAGACCTGTCTACAAAATACAAGGACCACTCAATTAAAAGCTTGAAAAAACAATTAAAGGCTCTTAAATATTCTAAAGCCCCCATTCTTGAAATTAAATACGTATCTGGACTTATTCGAAAGAAGCTCAAGACAAACATTCTACAAACAAATACTTCTGACACAATTGATCATGATAAATACATCGCTAAAAATTTTTGGAGTTACGTCAAACGCTTTTTTTCAAAGTAAGTCATCACTTCTGCCATCATTTTCTGCTACACGGTGCACCGAGTACTTTAGTAATGCTTTTTCTGCCCTTTATCCAAATAAACGATTCACTATTCCTTCTTGGATACCTTCTTTCGATGAACCATCCTATCCATTTGACACACAACCTCCATCATATCAAGTGATAACTTCTATTATACGTCGCATGAAATCCTCCACTTCTCCCTGTCCCCTTGATAAGATATCCATCATTTGTTTCAAACGTTGCCCTTACCTACGATCTTTCCTCACCAAAATTATTCATAGCATTTGGGTATCTGGCAGTGTTCCATCCGAATGGAAAAAAGCATCAACGATATTGATCCACAAAAAAGACAATACAGATGATCCTTCTAACTTCAGACCAATAACCTTAGAATCTGTTCCCTTGAAAATCTTCACCTCCTGCCTACGTAACTCTGTTTTCAACTTTCTGAAACAAAATGGTTTCATTGAAAGCCAAATTCAAAAAGGCTTCACTCCCAAGATATCAGGTACTTTAGAACACACGGCACTTATGGGTCATATGATAAATAAAGCTCGCACAAAACAGCGCTCTTTGGTTGTTACCCTGCTTGATCTCAAAAATGCTTTCGGCGAGGTCCACCATAATTTGATTCCCACTATTCTTTCGTACCATCATATACCATCTCATATTCAGGCTCTGGTCTCCAGCTTATATTCGGGCTTCAAGACCTCTATCCTCACAGATACATTCCAAACCCCTGCCATTCCCGTTTGTCGTGGTGTTCTTCAAGGTGACTGCCTCAGCCCTCTTATCTTTAATCTATGCTTCAATACGTATATTCAATACATAAAAGCAGAAAAATATAAACAGCTTGGCTTCTCTCCCCACGACGAAAACGATCGCATGTTCCAGCCAGTGCATTGGTTCCAATTTGCTGATGATGCTGCGGTTGTTACTAGTGGTGAAAAGGAGAACCAACTCCTGTTAAACTGCTTTACAAGATGGTGTCAGTGGGCAAACTTTGTAATAAGGGTTGATAAATGTGTCACCTTTGGCATTAAGAAATACTCAACAAGATCTCTTCAGTTCCAGCCAAAGCTTTTCGTGAACAACCAAAGCGTGCCTGTTGTTAAAAATGGAGAATCTTTCAAATACCTCGGCCGCTTCTTTGACTTCGAAATGACCAACGGCAGTCATAAAGAAAAACTGCTATCAATGTTTCCCAGCCTTCTGAAAGAAATTGATGACTTGCCTCTGCATCCCAAAAATAAACTTCTATTGTACCACAGATATGTATTGTCCAAAGTTTCTTGGCACTTCACTGTTGCAGACCTATCGAAGACCTGGGTCATTGAGAACCTCGATAATCTTGTC